GATTTGTAACCCTATGGTCGTGGGACAGAAATTTCTCGTCAACCGACTGCACTTTCTTATCCAACTCTTTAATTTGGACCTCCACGGTTTCCACTCTCCTTCCAATAACTTCTGCAATGTACTCGAGTTTCTCGTTCGTTATTCTTGAATTTTCTTCGAACCTTCTGAAATTTTCCTCAAACATTTTGGCTAGCATTTCTCTGAAATCGTCACCCCTGGCAGCTACTGACGAGACTTCCCCACCGTTGGATTCGCCCATTTCCGATAAATCCACTTCATCCTTACTGTCAAACTCATATGTATCGATGTTCATACCACGGCGCTCGAACTCATCCAACAGACGTTTTTGTAGTTCAGCCTTGTTGCCAGTAGAGGACAATTCCAATTTATTAAGTTCCTTCTTCAAGTCTTCCACTCGTAGATCCTTAAACTTCATCGTAGTATTATCGTAATCTCACTTCCGACACCAATTGTTACGTTTTTGGATTTTACTTAATCCCGTGTAGACGTTGTTTTATTTCCCAATACAGCTCGTACCAAATAAAACGCGGGTTCTTTCGGATTACGATTATTACAATGATTTTATTCACACAACTTTACTTTGCACTTTACTTTACTCGACGGTTTCAATTCGCGATCTGATTCACAACTGACTAACTGCCTTTCCATTTCCCCTATTTATATGAGCCTCGCCTGTCGCTACAGAAGTTTCTAGACGATCTGGTAACGCCTAGATTACGAACAATCTACCAATGCAACGAACACATACAAACTTACATTGAGTGAACAATAACAACAACACATACACAGGCGAGGGGGTAACAAAGAAAGAGGAATTAAGCGATCATCAATGATGACGTTTAACAAGAATTGTACGTCAGCAACAAAATAGAAAATGAAAGAGGAAATGGAAGGATGTAGAAAAATCTATACAGTAGTTGTTGTTGTGAAGTTATTCAAATAAACTGCGTAGTAGAAATTTACGTTACAATTCAAATTCTTAAATTAACGGAATTCATCTAAATTAACTTAAATCTAAAGTTATATTCGTAACAATACTTTAATGCCACAAGGGCATTCTAAATTGACAAAATTTGTCAAAATCGCTCCAGCCATTCTGAAGATATAAGCATTCTAGCTGACATCCCCTACCTTTGTATATAAACATTGTATATATTTCTCTATATATATCCGATGTTTTTACTATCGGCATCTACGTAACGGTCAGAATTGACCTGTTCGTCTATTTGTGATTTCGCCGGCAGTAAAAACATTCGCGGATTAATGGAAAATTTGACTTTTATTTATCGCTAATGCTATGGTCTACTAAACCACTAAATATTACCCGATGACCATCAAAACTGGAAGGCTTCTGCCCAGTCCAAAATCTAGCCCCATGCTAAATTTCGCTTCGATTGGTCTATAATTGTGACCTGTAGAGCAACTGCAAAATCGGAAATTTTTTAGTTTTTGGTCCATTTCAATCCCTAAATATTATGCGATCATCTCCAAAAGAAATAGGGTTCTATTCTGACCTTAACCCCAGCTACATTCTAAATTTCGTGAAGATCGGGCCATTATTGCGACCTATAGAGTGATTACAAATTAACATGGACAGACGGACGGACATACATAGCTAGATCGACTCAGCTCGGCGAGATAGGAAGATCCATATATACTTTCCTATGTGGGAAACCAATATTTCGTGGTGTTAAATAATTTTTGGCCCAATCAAAGTAGGGTATAAAAACCTGAATAATAATAATGACTTTAATGTATTTAATACATTGAATGTAATAAAACTTGAGTACCTTTTTATACCCTACACCACAAGGTGGTCAGGGTATTATGTCTTTGTGCATTTGTTTGTAACAGGCAGAAGGAAACGAGATAGACCCATAGTTCCTTTTGATGATCTGCATAGAATCGCATTCTGAGTCGATTTATGCATGTCCGTCCGTCCGTCTGTCCGTCCGTCCGTCCGTCTGTCCATGTATTTTTGTAAACAAAGTACAGGTCGCATTTATTGCCCGATCCAGATGAAATTTTGCAAAGATCTTTTGTTTGGCCCAAGGACGAATCCTATTGAGATAATCGGTCAAAATTTAGATATAGCGCCCATATATATCTTCGTCCGATTTGCCTTTTATTGTGCACCAAGCGTGTAATATCAGCCCAAATAGTATGAAATTTTGCACATACAACCAAATTAGGCCTGAAAATATGTATGCCAAATTTGATCGAAATCGGTTCAGATATAGCTATAGCTCCCATATATATTGTTCATCCGATTTGTTATTTTTGCCCACCGCCGCCGTAATATGCACTATGCAACAACAATATTTGGGGAAATATATCAAATACAGCTCAGAAATATAGTTGCTAAATTTTATCGTGATCGGTTCAGATTTGGATATAGCTCCCATATATAACTTCGTCCGATTTACCTTTTATTGTGCACCAAACGTCTAATATTTGTCCAAATGGGATGGAATTTGGCACGCACGACCGAATATTCAGGGAAATATATCAAATGCAGCTCAGAAATATCTTTGCCAAATTTGATCGAGATCGGTTTAGATTTGGATATAGCTCCCATATATATCTTTATCCGATTTCAAATTAATTGTGCATATTTAGTCCTTTGAACTTTAAATTATAATTATAATCATAGCGTGTATGATTGAATTCTCCCATAAAAACTTTTAATTGTCATGTGGAGCTCTACTTAATTAGTAAAGTGGTGTAGGGTATCATAAAGTCGGCCCGCCCGACTTTAAGACTTTCTTTACTGGTTTATGTATAATGTTAAATTTTCAATAAAATTTACTTGAATACAATCTACATATAAATTACTCAACTTTTTACAGTTTGGGCGGATATGGTCGATTTTGGGCGGTTTTTAGAAAAAAATTGGGCTGAAATAAAAATTTAAAACGGCACCACTGAAGCGGACAAGTACAGAGCATGGTACAAGAAACCAGGTAGATGAATCAACGCCTGGAAACAATGATATGTCTACAATTTTAAAATGTTTTTTTCAAGAGATAGATAGAATAGATTTTTTTATATTTTCTTTACGACGCCAATCGGAGGTTGTTATCTTATGCATTTGTCAACAATTTTAACATTCATTCAAAATTTTCAATTTCAAAATTGGTTTGACAGTCCATTGTACCATCGGCTGTGTCGATGTGACCATGGCTAAATAAGAAATGTTGCTCAACTTCAACGAAACTAGAAAAATAGAACCATGGTACAAAGAAGAGAAGGTAGGTCAACTTTGAAAAAATTGCAAGTATAGAGTTCTACCTGTTTGGCTTGTAATGTCAGAATTAGTATCAAAACAATAAAAAATCAAACAACTTGTTGCATTTATTTTGAATAAATAATTGAAAACCGCGATAAGTGAATGAAAGGTCAACACTTCTTTTCAAAATCATGTACTATATATCTCTAAAGGATTATTTCGCTACAAAAACTCTAGATTTTGTCGATGCATACGATGAAATAAACATTTTGAAAACACCCGAATTTGAATTTTTTCTGAACAATTTTTTTATTGAAAAGAAAACACATACATAAACAAATAAAGATGACATATTAGGCCAAGAAAATAAAAAAATTAAAATCATATGGTATCATAGCCCTACCCATGGTACAATGATATGAAGGTAGGGCTATGATACCAAATGATTTCAATTTTTTTATTTTCTTGGCTTAATAGGTCATCTTTATTTGTTTACGTATGTGTTTTCATTTCAATAACAAAAAAATTGTTCAGAAAACATTCAAATTCGGATGTTTTCAAAATGTTTATTTCATCGTATGCATCGACAAAATCTAGAGTTTTTGTAGCGAAAGAATCCTTTAGAGATATATAGAACCTGGTTTTGCAAAGAAGTGCTGACCTTTCATTCAGTTTTCGCGGTTTTCAATTATTTATTCAAAATAAATGCAACAAGTTGTTTGATTTTTTATTGTTTTGATACTAATTGTGACATTACTAGCCAAACAGGTAGACCTCTATACTTGCAATTTTTTCAAAGTTGACCTACCTTCTCTTCATTGTACCATGGCCCTACCTTGATATCATTGTACCATGAATAGAACTCTGTGCTGGAGTCCTATAGTGTTAAATAGACTTTCAAATATGCAACAGTTATTTTTGTTTATTTTCCTTTTTAACCCGAGAAACAAGAATGAAATTTCGGGGTTATTCCAAGAGATTGAATCTATAATAGTAGTAGGACAAAACAATTTTCCATTTTTCACTTGTTGTTTCTTCGATTTATTCGCCTATTCTATAATTCTGTATTTAATCTTTAAGTATTTGCGGCTGGGGAGCCAACAAATTTAAATTTAGACTCTAATTTAAACAAAAAAGATAGAGTAAGATAAAGTATTTTATAGTAATGTGTCATAAAATAAATATTTGTATTTGTATAATTTAAGATTTTTTCTATTTTTTAATATTACATTGTAATGCTATTTTTGGCCTAAAAAGGCTTCTGTGTTACGAAATCTTGAATAAATAAATAACAAAAAAAAAAAAAAATACTTAAAAAGCTTGAAGTCATGGCTAGGTACATTAATGTCAAATTATAATAATTTTAGTGCGGCTCTGTAATCCCTTTATGAAATGTCAAAAAATATGCCTAGTCATGACTTCAAGCTTCTAATGTACTCACGCCCTTATTTCAAAACAATACAATGAATTTCCCATTAACGTGGAAAATATGCATTTGTTTTGTAACCAAATTTGAAATAATTTGAAATTATTGTATTTTTTATTAAAAACAATACACACAAATACACAAGATGTGTATATGTTTTGACAGAATAAGGGCACCAAAGGAAAAAAATTGTATTAAGGGGTTGATTTGTTCTATCTTCTGTAATTGTGCCATGGATGTGACTACCTGTATTCTTGTACCATGGTATAGAGAAGGCACAACGCGGCGCCTTTATGGTTTAGGACGCCGTCACAGAAAATTTGTTCCGCTTTGTTGTCTGTACTTGTCACCGTTTAGTAAACAAAAACATCTATCAAAACACCAGAAATCTAGAAAAAAAATATAATTTCTTAAAAAATGGACGATATATTTTTCCCACCAACAAAAAGCAACAGTTTAGATGACTCCGATGAAGTAGATCTAAAGTTCTTCGATTCTCATCATCACGACAATCACAAGACCAGCGAAAGTAGTCAAAATTCCGATTCAGACCACAAATCGGAAGATCATCGGGATTCTCGAGAAGATGGAGATGGTGATAGGCGAAGAGTTAAGTCTGAAAATTCCGACAATAGAGATGATACAGATGTCAACTCACTTAATAAAAAACAGAAAACAAAAAAGGAAATGGAGGAGGAGGAAAGAGAGAAAATGCAGTAAGTATGCCAAGGCAAAGTAGATTGTTTTTATCTTCCAAATAACGTTGTCTTCCAGAGTGTTGGTTTCAAATTTCACCGAAGAGCAGCTAGATCGTTATGAAATGTACAGAAGATCCGCTTTTCCTAAAGCGGCAGTTAAAAGACTGATGCAAACCATTACAGGTTGTTCTGTTTCTCAAAATGTTGTTATTGCAATGTCCGGTATAGCCAAGGTTTTTGTTGGCGAAATTGTGGAAGAAGGTGTGTATGCGCAATATAGGCTGGTTTCCAAAACCCCATTCGTGTTCTACAATTTTTTGAGAGGCAGCCGTGATACAAGTTTCTTAGGTATTTTATAAATACATGTTTTCCTTTCTTTCAGCTTTGGACGTTATGGAGGAAATGGGTGACACAGGTGCCTTACAGCCAAAATATTTACGTGAAGCCGTTAGACGCTTAAGACAGCGCAATCGTATGCCTATTGGCAAATTCCAAAAACCATATTTTAGATTAAATTAATTTTATTTATTTTTTTAGCAATATATGTAATTTTTAAATAATGTGCTCGTAATTTGTTTTGATAATAGTTAATTGGGACATTTATTGGTTAACGTCATAATAGTTTGTTTAATTAATACCAATTAGTAGGTGACTTTTGTATTGTTTTATTGATCAAAAACTTTTCCCATAAAAATGTTTGTACGACGTTTCGGCATCAACTCCTGCCAGTATAAATCGTATTCGGGTGGCGGTTCATCCTTTCTTAGAGTTTTATTCCTTATCATAGCTGATGTTTCAACAGCTTTCTTTTTTATTTTCATCTTCCATTTGTTCCAATGATATGTGAATAGTTTTCCCGTCCCATAATAGAACATTTCTAACAAGCTAATTATGCTGAATCCATACATCAGGCCCATAATGCCTCCAAAACGGTCTGAAAAAGAGGTTATAGAGGTTAACTTCCTATTGTCTCTTCAGTTCAATCTTATCTAAATAAAAAAGAATTTTAGCAATGTTTCAGAACAAAAAAAAAAAAAAAAACAATTTCGCTTAGGGACAGAGGCGCAGAAGGCCAATCAAGCCAATTTATTTTTTACACCCTCCACCATACTATGGAGTATTAAGTCTGTCATTTCGTTTGTAACCCCTCGAAATACTCTTGTCAGACCCAACAAAGTATATATTCTTGAGTGATGTCCGTCTGCCAGTCTGTTGTAATCACACTATCTTTCGAATGAATTGAGAAAGAAGGCTAAAATTTTGCACACATGTGTATTTTGCCAGGAGCCAGGTTAAATCGCAAATTGGTCATATCGGTCTAAGGTTTTTGTATAACCCCCATATAAGTTACCTCTCAATATTCGGTACATTGATGATTATAGCGACATATAGACCGGAATGTTTCAAATTTCGTATTGAAAAATATTAATGGGTACTACAACTTATGACAAAAAATTAAAAATTACTGGTCAACGTTTTGGTATAGCCCCTATATAGTGGTACCTCCCAATATTACGTATTTGTATGGTATTAGAGTCTATTATTCTTTTCCAGAAATTCAAGAACGTAAATATTTTTAATACTATAACCGATTTTACCTTTATGACATCGAAAAAAAAAAAAAATCATAAAAAAGTAGATACTTGAAGTTTCTGGAACAGCCCAATTATAGATCTGATTTGTTGTAAATTTCGTATTTGAGGGACCACGTCTTCGTATAGCCCCCACGTAACGGTAACCGCCAATTCGGTATTTATTTGATTTAGAATTGTTTCAAATTACGTGTTTGAAGTTCGAAATGGATACTTAATCTATGACAGAAAATTGTCCATGCAGGTTTCCCCGGAATTATTTCAAATTTCGTACTTGAAGTTCGGAATCGGTACTGCAGCCTATGGCTTCTATGATTTTTTTTCCAATTTTTCAAGTTCCTTCCAAATGGTGGAGGGTATTAAAAGTTCGGCTAGGCCGAACTAGGCTTCTTTTTTACTTGTCTTTAATTATGATACATCTTAAATTCTTCTTAATTTTTTCAGTTAAAGTAATGCGAGTATGTAATGAAAACTTATTTTTGACATTTATAATTTTTATTTAAAAATGTTACATTAACTTACTCAAGAGCACAACCCAATCTCCAATTATATCCATTTCGGTGGCCTGAGCAAAACGCTGCTTGAAAAACAACTTAATTATGGCCAAAGGTTTAGAATCACTTAGGTTCTTTCTGTAAAAAACAGCAACGAAAATGACTTATTAAATTTTTCCAGATACTGCCTGCCGGATAATAGTTACACACAATAAACCATGGCTATATATTCCTCCATAGGCCCTTCGAATTGTCATCTCATTTAAGTGTATTCGAAAGTTTACACCATCACAAGTTGGTAGGCAGTGTGGACATTTATGACCAGCGGTTTCATCCTCTTTACTATTATCGTTGACATAGGAAAAATAATCCCAATTATGCCACTTAACATTCCACTGACGCAGACAAGGTAAGGCATTCAAATTACAATATGTTAGATTTTCCATGGCACCCATTGGGGGGCTGACACAACCGCAATGTTTTATCATGGATTCCGAACGACATTGCAACAAACATTCGTCTATTGAATAATAAGATCTAAAAGAAATGACAATATTTAAATGATTATTATTTGTTACTTATTTGTGGGCTAGTTCCCTAACCTGTTTAAAACCTTTTGTCCCTCATCGGGAAAATAGCAATTGCGTACACTTGGTTTAAACTGCCTTATCCTTTCATTGGAGTCATAGAATTCCGGTTGTATGGGTATTTCCACAATGGAATAATAGTCAACCAAAATATGACCAATATGACTGGATTGTATATTGGCATAATCGTATTGGGGAAACACTGTAATCTGTTGAAATACGGAAATGAACAGATTTTATTTTAATTTTTAATTCGTTCACCATGTTGCTGATACCCACCTCAAATGAATCAATATCAAAATCTCTCACCGTAAAATCCTCGGGATTACTTTGTAATACAAATTGTATGGAATTCAAAATGGAATTAGCCTCAAACTGTATCGGTTGCTTTTCGCGTATGAAACGATTGTCTTCATTGCGCGTTTTTCTGTAATAATAAACAAAACAATAGATTTAAATACAGATTTATTTATTGGTTTGTCCTTACTCATCATAGGCATAGCTTTCACGTTTGTAATTAAACATACAGCACACTCCATTTGTGGTTAAACGTTTACGAAAATAGTCGCTTATATTAACTGGTATACCATACACAATGCCTCTTATAATGATATCCTCACAATCCGGACCAAGTTCCGTTAGTATATCTTGTATTGGATAATCATTGGTCTCATACATAAACCTTAGTAGAATATCCAATTTTGTCAATATTGTTTCATTGGCTTTGTTCTTGTCGTAGGGGAACAGATAAAAATCATCCAAATATAATAAATGATCAAACATTTCCGTGGGGGTGCGAGCCAGAAAATAAGGTCTAAAACTTTGTTGAATTGAAAAGCTAAAAAGAAATATAAAATAAAATTCCTATAAAAAGCGGTGACAAAGTACCTTCCTCGAAAGAATTCGGTCTCCAACGTACAAATATTGCAAAAAGAGAGAAGAAACTGATCCGCGTTATGAAAGTCTTATATTTAGAATTTGTAAAGCAAGCTGAAACAATTTTTTAATCAAATCAGTTGGCTACAATGTCCTGAATTTCAAAACTTAAAAATACCAAAACAATGTGCCACAATTGAAGTCCGTTCAATATCTGGAGGCAAGTCTGGGTCGATTTCAGCATTTTTATGAGTATGTGAACTGTGTGTAATGATTACTGATGAAAGCCCCTAGACCGATACTGAAAAATTGGCGTGAGACTTTCTTCCAACTGGAACAAAATCCAAATTGAAGCCAACTTACAATTTTATAATTCCGAAACTACATCAGAAACCTCCCAAACACACAATAGAAGTTATTAGGTAGGATTCTTTGTATTCCAAATTTGTCTATTGTCCTTTTAGTTTGAAAAACATTTTTTTGTAGAAATGTAGGTCACCATAACCCCACTCCATAGACGTGGTATGAGGTGACTTTAAAATCCAAATTTTGATTATACGGATTTTCCTGACTTCTGCAATATCATTTATATTCATCGAAAACTTATCAGCCGTGTTTTTCGAATATTGCTATACCGAAACAAAACAAATAAACACCCACTCTCACAAATTATTTCCATATCTTACTCTTTAGCCAGCCATAGTTCTAATCTCTCTTAAAGAGGCACCAACAACCACCCATTGTTAGCGGTTATCAGGTTCAATGGAAATCACCATGGGAAAGCTATAAAAAGCATAAATCAGCATAGTTTTACGACTAGTAGTCGAAAGTATTTTCGCCATGAAGGGTTTATCCGTTACCTTGTGCGTGGCCATTTTGGGCTTGGCCTCCGTTTCTTTGGCTTTGAAGGCCCGCTACGATAATTATCACGTTTTCCAGGTGCAACCAAACACCGTGGAGCAACTGGAATTCATTAAGCAATTGGATGGTTCCCGCGATTCCTATATTTTCTTGGATGCAGTACATTATTTGAATTCGAAAATCAATGTTGTCGTAGCCCCACATCGTGTGCCTGACTTTGTCAATGCTTTGGAGAAACATTCCGTTACCTATGAACTTGTGGATACCAATGCCCAAGCTCAATTGGAGGACGACATTGTTGCCAATCCCAATAGACGCAGTGATGACTATGGCTGGGAGGAATATCATGAATTGGATGACACCTATAATTGGTTGCATTCTTTGGAGAATAAATATCCCGGTGTTGTTTCTGTCTTCAAGGCTGGTCATTCCTATGAGGGTCGTGACATTTTGGGAGTTAAGGTAACCTATGGACCTGGTAAAAAGGGTATTTTCTTGGAGGGTGGTATGCATGCCCGCGAATGGATTGGCCCTGCCACCACCACCTACATACTCAACCAACTGCTGACAAGTACCGACAAGGAAGTTCGCATGATTGCCGAAAGCTTCGACTGGTACGTTGTACCACACGCCAATCCCGATGGCTATGTCTACACCCACACCACCGATCGTTTGTGGCGTAAGACCCGTACTCCCTATGAAGGTGATTGTTTTGGTGCCGATCCCAATCGTAACTGGGGCTTCCATTGGAATGAAATTGGTGCCACTGATAAGCCTTGCTCTGATACCTATGCCGGTCCCTATGCTTTCTCCGAAATCGAAACCAAAACCTTGGCTGAATATATTGCCAACGAATTGAAGGGCAAGATTTTCCTGTATGTCTCCTTCCATTCGTACTCGCAATTGTTGTTGTTCCCCTATGGCCACACCAATGAATTGCCACCAAACTACGATGACTTGAAGCGTGTATTTGATGCTGCCGTTAGTGCCATTTCCGTACGCTATGGAACCAAATATACTGGTGGTAACATTTATGATGCCATCTATCCCGCTGCTGGCGCTAGTGTTGATTGGGCCTATGGCGAACAGGATGTCAAATATGCTTTCTGCTATGAATTGCGTCCATCTAGCTTGGGTTTGTGGACTGGTTTCAAATTGCCAGCTGACAAAATTATTCCCACCGGTGAAGAGACTTTGGACTCTTTGTTGGCCATGATCAAGGAAGCCGGTATTACACACTTCTTGTAAGATTCGTAAATAAACTTTGCCTTTGGCATCAAAGATCATATTGCGATTATGTGTGTTTTTGTTGACAATAAAATATTGCAATTTTGTTATATTGATTTGGTTTGGCCCTTTTTGGATTTGATAAAATTTCATTTCACTTTCTAGTATTGAAAATCTTAACTGGCGAGTTCTGCTTATCAGTCTTCTTCCATTAATTAAATTTACGATTAACGTACGGTAATCCAATCTAAGTGGCCTTTATTGCTTTGGTTTTTTGCATATGGCTGTTTGGCTACATTGCGAATATAAAAATGTGACGTTACAATCTTATCGTGGCAAATGATTTATAATTTTTTAAAGGGATATAATGGAAATTTATTGTTTTAAATTTATGATCGGGGAAAAAGAAATTCCCATGTAGTGGGTAGAATAATTTTATTTGCCTTTAAGAGAGTTGGTTTTAGGCAAAATGGGAAGAGAGCCGAATTATAAATAAATAAATAATATAATAATAAATAATAATCTTATTAAATTGGGAGAGCGAATGTTTTTTTTTTATATTAGCAAGCAGGCGTTGATGAATGTTGCATACATTGTTATGGGTTCAGAATTGTTATAACATAAATCTCTACACCTAAAAGGCCATTAACATCAAAATATTGAAATTTCTCCTTGCGGATAGAAGACAATGTCTCTTGAACGAAGTTAAGAGATGCTTTTCTCTTTGAATAAATAAATTTTATTTCAGCAAATGTAACTAATTTTGATTGAGCTCCTATTCCTGATAGGCCACTTTTATTATTTTCTTAGATGACCATTAGAGGGAGACGTCATTAAGCGTCTGAAAGTATGCTATATAAATATTATTTTTTTAGACATAACAAAGTATATATATTCTTGATCAATAAATAAATACTAATCAGTGCAATAATGTTACTAGACGGAGTAGAAACGCAACTCCACCATTCTATGAAGGGTATATTAACTTTGTCATTCCGTTTGTAACTCCTCGAAATATTCATAATAGACCTTACAAAGTATATATATTCTGGATCAGCGTAAAATTCTAAGACGATCTACCGATGTTCGTCTGTCTGTCTGTCCATCTGTTGTTATCACGCTATCTTTCGAACGAATTGAGATAGAAAGCTAAAATTTTGCATATATACATAGTTTACCAGTAGGCAGGTTAAGTTCGTAAATGGATCATATCAATCCACGTTTTCGTATAGCCCCCATACAACGGTACCTTCCGATATTCGGTATTTTCATGATTTTAGCGACATTATTTACCGTAATTTTTTTAAATTTCATACTTAAAATTGGTGATGGGTACTACAGCCTATGACAAAAAATATTGTATGCAGGTCCTCGTCTTCTTCTTATTTCACATTTAGTATTTGAAGTTTGTAATGGATTCGTAAGCAGGTCCAAGTCTTCGTATAGTCCCCATATAACGGTTTTCACTTCAGGTAGTTATTTTTTGGATTTTTTTTTTGAAAATTTTCAAGTTCCTTCCGAATGGTGGAGTGTATTAAGAGTTCGACCCGGCCGAACTTAGCTGCTTTTTTCTTGTTATTATTGTAGAATATTTCCCTGAAGATGAAATTCATTCAATTTCGAAATATTGAAAAATGAAATAAATACAACAACAAAGATCTCAAGCTCGAACAACACTTGTTTTATTAAAATATTTAAAGGTCGAATAAAGAAAAACATTAATTATTCTTGATCAGCGTAAAATTCTAAGACCATGTAGCCTTGCACGTCCGTCTGTCCTTCTGTTGTAATCAAGCTAGAGTCAAAACGAATAAAAATAGGAAGCTAAAATTTTGCACTAATCAACACGATATCGGTACCCCCACATACAATGGTATCCCCGATATTCGATATTTTGACGATTTTAGGGACATTATTCATTGGAGTTGTTTGAAATTCCGTATTTAAAATTCACAATGGTTACTACAGCCTATGACAAAAAATTGTGTATGTGGGCCTTCATACGTCTTCGTATAGCCTAAATATAACGGTAACTCCCAATATTCGGTATTTTAATGATTTTTGCGACATTATTCACAGGAGTTGTTTCAAATTTCATACTTAGAGTTCAAAATGGGGACTAAAATCTCTGACAGAAAATTTTCTATACAGCTTCAGGTCTTCGTATAGGTCCCATATATCAGTACCTCCGAATATAGGTATTTTGACGATTTTAGGTACAATATTCATTGTATTTGAGGTTCCTAATTGGTACTACAGCCTACGACAGAAAATTGTCTTTGCAGGTTCACGCCTTCGTATATCCCCCATATAACTGTACCTCCCGATATTCGATACTTTGTTGATTTTAGCGACATTATTCACCGGATTTGGTTCAAATTTGGTATTTGAAGTTCGTAATGGATACTACAGATGTAATGGTGCCTCCCTATATTCAGTATATTCTGTATTTTTAAGTTTTTAATTGAAATTTTAACGGATTTTATTTTTTGAAAATTTCCAAATTAGTTCCAAATGGTAGGTATTCAAATTACGGCCCGACCGAACTTACTGCTTTTTTACTTGCAATGTCTGGTTAAAGATTATACTTATCATTTCCTTTACCAAAACATAAGGGCTTCAAAAATATATTTAGTTAAATGACATGATAAGTACAACTGCTAATTGCCCCAAATATAAAGGCTCTTTAGGCACACAGAGACCATTTAATTTGTTTTTTAAACCACAAAACGTTTGAAGAGAAGAACGTTTTTAATAACTAATTCCTGCATACACTGTTTTGTCAGTAGATTTTACATTTCGTATTCCTTCTGATGGACAATCTATGGAATTTATTGAGCAATGTGAAGAAGGGATACTTAATTCATATTATCAGGTTTTTTCTTTGAAAATCCATTTTTATTTTTGTGGGAACTTTCCCTTTACCACAATATACTGGCTACTACAGATGTTACGTTATCTTTAAAATTATTGTCCGAAAATGATCAAACACAAACACCTAAAAAACCTTTTGAAATGTGTTGTACAATAACAACTTTTAGTTCTGGAGTTTGAAATAATTATTGTTATTATTGTCATTATACCCTACACCACAAGGTGGTCAGGGTATTATGTCTTTGTGCATTTGTTTGTAACAGGCAGAAGGAAACGAGATAGACCCATAGTTGCTTTTGATGGTCTGCATAGAATCACATTCTGAGTCGATTTATGCATGTCCGTCCGTCCGTCTGTCCGTCCGTCCGTCTGTCCGTCCGTCTGTCCATGTATTTTTGTAAACAAAGTACAGGTCGCATTTATTGACCGATCCAGATGAAATTTTGCGAAGATCTTTTGTTTGGCCCAAGGACGAACCCTATTGAAATTGGAGATAATCGGTCAAAATTTAGATATAGCTCCCATACATATCTTCGTCCGATTTGCCTTTTATTGTCCACCAAACGTGTAATATCAGCCCGAATTGTATGGTATTTTGCATATACATCCAAATTAGACCTAGAAATATGTATGCCAAATTTGATCGAAATCGGTTCAGATATAGCTATAGCTCCCATATATATTGTTCATCCGATTTGTTATTTTTGTCCTCCGCCGCCGTAATATGCACTATGCAACAACAATATTTCGGGAAATATATCAAATACAGCTCAGAAATACATTTGCTAAATTTTATCGAGATCGGTTCAGATTTGGATATAGCTCCCATATATAACTTCGTCCGATTTACCTTTTATTGTGCACCAAACATCTAATATTTGTCCAAATGGGATGGAATTTGGCACTTACGACCGAATTGAGTCTAGAAGCTAGTGTGTCAAATTTGGTGAAGATCGGTTCAGATATAGCTATAGCTTCCACATATATTATTCATCCGATTTGGTATATTTGTTACCCACAACCGTAATATGCACTCCGTAACAACGATATTCAGGGAAATATATCAAATACAGCTCAGAAATATTTTTGCCAAATTTTATCGAGATCGGTTCAGATTTGGATATAGCTCCCATATATATCTTTATCTGATTTCAAGTTAATTGTGCACCAAATGGGCAATACAATTCCGAATTTAAAAGATACAAATGCTTCGGCATATTTAGTCCTTTGAAGTTTAAATTATAATTATAATCATAGCGTGTATGATTGAATTCTCCCATAAAAACTTTTAATTGTTATGGTGAGCTCTACTTAATTAGCAAAGTGGTGTAGGGTATCATAAAGTCGGCCCCGCCCGACTTTAAGACTTTCTTTACTGGTTTTTAATTTAGCATTTATGCATTATGCATTTTGAAGGGCTTCATGAAACGGGATTTTTGTTAACAATATAACATTGTAAACGTGTTGACATTCACCTACTAAATAAATTCTGTTATCTGACCTTTCGTGAGGTTGAAAAAATATGCATATTTGCAAATGAAATTATATGTTGCCGATTGGAAGAATGCATATTAATTAGGGTGTAACGGAATTAAAAAGGTGTACTCAACTAAATTATTCCAAGTCCTTTTATATTATTTTTTTTATAAAAATTAATATTGTAGAAAATTATTATTATAGTTTGGTTATTTATAAGTTTTCTACTTGGTATGGAGTGCCTTATTAATGCAATTAATTGGCCTTGGAGGCTTTAGTATTAACAATGAATTTTAAGAAAGAATGAAAAAAGTTTGGTAGTTTAGGCCATATATATTTCACCAAACATTTTCAAATAACAATGCATTTAAATATAATAAATAATTCTCTTAATATATACTTTAATACAAATTTAATTAGTTTGTTTTTAGAATTTTTGGATATAATTAAATTATTTTTTTTAAATGTGTTTAAAACTGGAATTCATTATGGGTATTAAACAGGGTTCCAAACTTACTAGGATGTGCTCCAACAACTAATTTAACAAACAAAAAATAAAACAAACATATGTTAGTTTTCTCTGTATATATGTAACTATAAAAAATCTCAAGATTTTCTCCTTTAAAGAGTTCTGCTATGTCTGTCAGACGCAAGTTGTATAAAACTGAGAGTAAGATTTATTATTATTTAGTATTTATATCATTAAGTGTTTAGTTAGTATTGTCTAAGGACACATACAATTGCCATCCTTCTAAATATTGTATACTAGCTGGCCCGGTCCGCGTTGCCGGCCCGTAGTTTTTGTCTATTATGCATATATTCCCAAGCATAATTATTCACAGATATGACTGATATAAGTGTTCACGTACAGGTCGATTTAAAGTGTTTTAAAATACCTGTACCCATTTTTAACCAGTGGGCTTCAATATTTAAACCGTGGGCTTCAACTGTGTGGATGTGCTATACAAATCTATTAAAAAGTATATATCAATCTTATCGCCATATAAGGGATCAAATTAATTTTTAATATGGTAAAAATCGTAGCAAAATCT